GTCTGGACACCTCGTTTTCCTAACCCTAACCCTACCCTGGTGCACACCCCTAACCCTAATATAGGGGTATTATTCCATTGCAAAGTGGACAATTTTGAAAAAGCCTTCCCTGAGCAGCTTTTTCTGCGCAGCTCATCATTTCTGCCCATCCTAAACACATTCCAACCATCAAAACCATGTCTGGACACCTCGTTTTCCCAACCCTAATATAGGGCTAACCCTAACCCTAATATAGGGCTCAAGTTCCATTAAAAAAAATGCGATTTTGAAAAAGCCTTCCCTGAGCAGCTTGTTCTGCGCAGCTCATCATTTCTGCCCATCCTAAACACATTCCAACCATCAAAACCATGTCAGGACACCTCGTTTTTCTAACCCTAACCCTACCCTGGTGCACACCCTAACCCTAACAGAGGGCTCAAGCTCCATTCAAAACAATGCGATTTTGAAAAAGCGTTCCCTGAGTAGCTGTTTTTGCACAGCTCATCATTTCGGCCCATTCTAAACACATCCCAACCACCAAAATTATACTAGGACGCACATTCAGCAGTTCAGGATACAAGTCTGCCCCATCGCTTGCTGCTTGGAGGGTCCCACTGGGCCTTGCCCCGTCACAGAATTCCAGCCCACCTCCACCTGTATGACAATCAGTAGGTGCCCTCCGCAAGAGTTGCACATCTGAGCATTGGCTGTTTGCCGCCCAAGTGTCAAAGGTCTAGGGAGTGGCGGACACAGAGTAGAGAACTGAAACATACAGTAATATGCAGAAAGCAGTCAAGCTGCAAAGAGAGAGGCAGAGTAAATATGCACAGCTGGACAAATGCCTCTTACCTGATCTGCTCCGCTGCTGCCGAACGGCTCGCTGTAAAGAAAGATGTTGGTTCTGCGCAGGCCTCCCTGGGGAGACGGTTGCACAAGTGGTGCCAGTCCTGAGCTGGCTCTGTCCCGCGTTGCCCGCTTCTGCGCCTCTCCTGCAGGAGGGCCCTTGGAAAGGACGCGGAGTGTGCAGGCAGGTTCGCGCTGGGAGAGCGGCTCTGCCGGGCACTGAGCGCCCTAGAGAGGAGAGAAGTGGCTTAGCAAAGGCCCGTCTGGAACACCGTTGCCAAATTCAGTCTGTTCTCATTTTCACATACTGCAAGGAACCAAAATGTCGTGTCAATGCAAAAAAAGAGCGCACGCAGAGAAGAGAGCCTAATTGAAAGGACTAAAGCAAGTTTCCTGAGAAGGATCATGGAGTGACTTTTATTGGCAAGCGTTAAATCAAGCGGCTTGGTTAAGTGGACGCCCCGTGGACATGCACAGAGCGAGCCTGATCCCACTACCTCCTGTCCTTGTGGCACATGTAGCAACGCTAGAGCGGCCTTCCCTGAAGGGGCACCAGGATGGGGAAGGCGGGGTGGCCCGTGGGGTGCAGACCTGCGTGCTCCCGTCTCCCATGGCAACCTGCGGAAACCAGGACTGGCGGCAGTGCCCCGGGTCAAGCACACTTCCTGCTGTCGGCTGCCACGTAATGCGAGCAGAGGTCCTTGAGAGAGGCCCGAACATGCAGAAATGGTGCTCTGCTGTTTGGGGAAAAGCACGTGTCTGAAGACAAGCTTGTGAAGGACACCTAACGCTTTACTGGCGCCCAGGAATGAGCCGGCTCCCGGTGTGCCCAGCGTGAAAAGACGGCTTTGCACCCCCGCAGCGCCCCTCTTGGGAACGCAGTGCCTTCCTTTTGCTTCGTTCCGCTTGCATTCATTTCACCAAGGTGAAATGCATCTTTGGGAGAGCTTAGCTCCAGGATGGCCCTCGGAACAGCCAAGCAGAGAGGGGCTGGTGTGGCGGACTCCCCCCGCCCCCAGCTGACTCCTCGAAGGACCCAGGGTTGATGCCCACGACCAGCTTTCAGCAGGTGGAGGAGGACTCCCTGCGCCACCAATCGCTAACAGCGAGAGGCGTCTGCACCAGCATGCCGCAAAGGCACGCCATGTGCTTCATGAAGGGCCCGGCCGCTGCCTCCCGCAAGAGGACGGGCCCTGAGTTTGGGTGCTCCTTTCAGTGGAGCACTTTCAGGTGGGCGGAAGCGGCTGTCCCAGGAAAGGCGCTTCCACCCCCGTGGCGTAAACCTGGATCTCATCCCTTGCCATGCCAAGACGGCCGAGCCACCGCCCATGGGCTCCCCTCTAGAGGCCGGGCCTCACTGCTTCCAGAAAGGGGAAATCAAATGTGCTTCTGAATACGGCGCTTGGCCTGAAATCTAGCCAATGAAGGACAGAGTGGGCATATCGAATAAATCTGTCCCAGCCACACCTGGGAGCAGGGAGAGGCCGATCCCCCTCTGCAGCCAAGAGCCATGGGAGTGGCGTGGGAGAGGGCAGGCAGAAGGAAACCAACTGAATCCACGGGAGGGAGTATTAACTGTGTGTCTAGGGACAACTCGCAGTGTCGACATTATTTCTCTTACCTCAAGTTTATTTTAATAAAACCCACCAATCAGATCATGTCTGTGTTCCTCGGCGCAGCCTTCTTGGTCTCCAGAAGTCGGCTGAGTTATGCTGGTGACGGCTTTGCTCGCCTCCAGGATTAAGCCTGAAGGGTGTTGGCGCTTGGACGTGCCCTGCAACGGCTGAGGGACTCGGCGCCTGCCTGCCTGCCTGGGTGCTTCCTCCTGCAGCGATTCCAACAGCGTAGGAGCCAGCAGCTCTGCTTGTCAGCCAAACGGAAATACGGCGCTTGAGTGCAGAATCTGGCAGCCAATAGGGAATTGTGCAGGGACCCGAGTCTCAAGTCACTAGACCTCATGATTGTACAGGAAATGCTTGAAGACTGACAGTGGGAGTAGAACTTTCTCTCTTGCGGCCACTTTCCTCTTTTACAGGAAAGTTGCTTTCTGAGTGGAGGCATGTCACCGCTTTCCCCGAGGCGGCAGCGGGCAGGAGGAGAATTACACCCCACAGAAAACTACTAGATCAGGCCCAGGATGACGGCATGGCGCTTGTTACATCCATCTCTGCTTCCCACATTTTCAGTCTTCCATTTTTTGCCCCTTAATAGAACTGGCTTTGCAGGGTGGGGTGATGGATGAAAATTGTATACATCCCTTTAAACAGTCCATTGGCACAAGCGGGAATTTGCACAAATGACCCGCAAATTGTACGCAGAGAGCAAAAAAAACCAGGAAAAGCAGAGCAGCCTTTCCCACTTTGGTGCCCCCGACTCCTCCAGAGACTAACCGGCAGGGGATGCTGGGAACTGGAGGGCACCATGTTGAGGAAGGCTGTGGCGCAGACCTCACAAGAACCGATCGCTCCCCACGTCAATGTGTAAAGCACACGGATGTGAGCTGCTTTTGCTTCGGAAGCTTGCTATATTGACAGTAACAATATAAACAACTACCAAAAACATCGATTTGCAGAGCATTTCCTGGAGCTCGGTGCTCACAGAGGCAGCCACAAAATGTGGAACGTACACAGATCAGCACAACACGCCGGGCTGCATCCATCTGCTTTAGGAAGGCTTTGAATCGAACAAAACCCACCTCTTAACATTCAGGCAAAACGGCGGGTGCGTGGAGGGAGGAGCAATTTCATCCATTAAGAGCGTCTTTACAAGTGGCTGCGCACGGGGCCATTTACCCCTCCGTCACTCAACCGAATTTAATTGCAGGTGTAGCTAATGGAACAGTTTTCCCCAACTAGGTAACTTGCATGCATAAGTGAGCCTGTTTACTCCCAAACACTTTTTTTTGTTTAAAAAACAAACCCTCTGCAGCTAATTTATGCTGAAATGGTGTTAAATTGTATCAAATTGGCACAATAAAAACAATTGAAGATACTCCCACCCCCATGCCTTCAATGAACCAAGATTGCATTTGGGGAATGCATGGATCGTTTTAACAAATATTATAAAAATTAAAGAACGAAAAGAAGGGGAGTGGCCTATTGAACTCTGGAAATGCATATTTAAACACTTTAGCCTAAAACATCTCCATATTAAAAATGCCCAGAAGGGTACCCCTAAAGCGGCAGTGCTTTCAAAGGCTGTTAGATCAAAGTAGTTTCATCTTTTAATTTAAACCTTTTGTTGCTTCAACCGTCTTAAGAGAGATGAAGAGAGATCAAAATAAAAACTGAAACAAAACCGGCAGCTTTGTAGCTGCATTTTTCCCCTCCGCTCCCCCATCCAAGTCTCCAGCTTTCCCCCTCCCCTCGTTCCGAGTCCCTTCTCTCAATTTAGGCCGCAAAATAGGTCAGCTCCATTACCGATCAGTCTTCCCACAAATATTTAAAACAAATTGAATTGCACACCCAATACCCATCACAATTACGCCAGCCACAATAACTAAATTAGCAATTCAACAAAATAATTGGAAATGCGATCCTCTCTATTCTGCACTTTCCCTCAGGGCTTTTGCCGATCTGTGGGGGGGAAACTCCGCTTTACTAATTCAGAAGCTAATTAGAGCCACACTTGTAAATGAAGTTGTTTGTCTGAAACTTGAAATTCTGTGCAGTTTTATTTTCTCTTTATGGGGGTGGTGTCATTTCTGGAACACTCACCTTTCATTTCGGCTCCCCACCCACTTTAAGAGCAGTGCAAAAATGTTAAAATATGCTAATTAACAGAGGCACTGCAAACAGCTAAAGAATTTAAAATCTGCTAAAAATTCAAGCTAGGCCTTAATTGATGGCATTAGAAGAAACATCTGTGATAAGCCAGTTCTCTTGGTGCCCTTTTTCAAATAAATGTACTTTACAACTTGTGACAGTGACGGGAGCCCAGGGCTGCAGGAGGTGACCCAAGGGAGCAGGTGGGCAAGCTTCCAGCTCGGACCCTGCGCTCCTGCAGCAGCAGGACCTCCGGCTTGGCCCAAAGCCAAGGCGCTTGGCATCCGACCCAGCCCTCAGGTTAGCCAGTAGCCAGATCCTTCCTTTGGCTCCAGCCAGTGACCACGGAGGTTCCCCGGCTTTTGTGCAAGTTCCCCTGCCGCTAAAAGGATGAAATGGAAGTGCCTCAAGCTGGAACAGGCTGCTCCTTTTGCATCTGGCCCTCTCTGTCCACCACTGCAAAGCACTCACCAAGAACTTCTCCAAAGTGGAGTTTGACCCCCAGGAAGAAAGGGGGCAGCAGAGGGTGTGACCCTGCAGACACTGCCGGCCTGCGAACTCCACCAGCGGGTTGTGAGCGCTGACGGTGCTACGGACCAGCAATACCTGGACAACCACCTTTCAATTTAGACTGGGATTCTTCTCATTCCTGCCTCTCTTTTACCAGTGTAACTCTTCCTCTTAGCACTTCAAAGAAGTAAATTATGTGATGGTGGTTTTACGTATGCACCGGCCGACCTACTGAAGCTCGGGACACTGTAAGCAACCTGCCCTTTTGACTAGAAGGCTCAGGACCCTTTTAAAAACAAGAATACAACTTTCCCCCCTTCTTTAAAAACCTGCAAAGATGACTCAGCAAAGGCACTAACAGAGGCCAAAATAGGAGAGCCTGGCTCTGCGCTACGCACAAGCGAAGACGCCAGCCAAAGCGGGGTTTGCTCAAGCGTGGGTGCACCACGGGCTGTGCCTCGCACTCGCAGAAGCGGTTGCCCCAGCGGCTGCGGGATGGAGCTCGGCTAGCGCCGTTTGAATGTGTGGCAAAAGTTGCCTTCCTCTACTGCCCGTTCAGCAGAGCAGCGGCGTGGGAGAGTCCGGGCGACACGGGCACCTCCCAGAGAGCTTCCCCTCCTGGATTTCAGGAAGGGTTTGTTTGTTTGGGGAACTTGTGCTTCAGGTGTTAACATGAGGCGTCGTCCGGTGCTCAGGCTGTCAAGAGAAGCACCTTTGGCTGGAGCCCCAGACGTGTCCGTCCTGGTCCCAAGGGAAATGCGGGTCATATAGAGGACGGCCAATGTGCAGATCCAGCCAGAAAGGTCACACACCTCGATCTCGCTCCCTATGAAAGCTAACCTTGTCCCATTTAAAAGAGCCGATGATGTGGAAAGGAAGCCAAGTTCCCATGACAAGGACCCCGGACTTGCTCTCGACACCTACTTACCCGTGACGTGCCATCCTGACGCTGCAGCATGGAAACAAGACTCTGCGAGGATGCGGCCAGAAGTTCCAGGCCCCGATTCCTTCTGTCCGCCCTTCCTTCCTGTCCTCAAAGGCTCTGGGCATGGAAAACCTCGGCAAGGTGATGAGGCAGCGCCAGCGAGGAGAAGGCACAGTAAGTTGTGCAGCTGTGACCCTGGAAAGTGTTCAGAAATTTCAGCTGGCTTGGAAAACACACAGTTCCACAAGCTAGAACTGTGTGTTCCACGAGTTCCACGAGCTATGTAGCCGTAGTTAAAAAAGATTTGCAC